GCCGCACTCTCCCGAGTGCACCACGGGCCCGGCCCACAGATTTTAAATCTTCTGACAGAGTTCTGTAGCAAACAGTATTAAAACTTACAGAGTTAGAACTATGAGGTACCAGCTCAAAACAAAGCTAACATAGCAACATAGACCAACATGCAGACCCCGAGAGCCTCTGCCCATGTGGCCTTCATGTGTGATGGAAGCACTGGGGGACAGGGGACAGGGCCGGGAACAGCTGGACACCCAGGGGTGGGGGGCTGCACAGAGCCTCACCTGACAGAGCACCTCAGGTGCCTTCCAGGTGGAGGAAAGCAGAAGCAGATGCTCTCAGGAGAGGAGACCCCATGCCCAGAACACACAAGTAAAACATTCACCCTCTTGTGGGGTTACCATTTTTCCACGTCCAATCAGCAAAAAATTTAAAGTGATCATTCCAATGCCAACTGTTAATTCAAGGACTCAAGCATACTCGTGTTTTGCTCGAGGAAGCTCGGCATTGTCTACTGAGAGCACATGCCCTTTGACCCACAGCCACACTTGAGGAGTCTGTCCCCTAGAAATGGAAGCATTAGTCTAAAGTTTTACGTCTGCATGTGGAGGATTTGGGGTTCTGGTGTAATGGAGCAGCTTTTATTGGATTCAGCCTCCTGCTGAAGATAACCATGAAGCTGTGGACAAAATACACAGAACCGCTGTGTGAAGGCATTAGGGAGCCCCAACCCCTGTCCCGGGCCTTACCCGGCTGTGGCGTGGGAGGTGGAGGCCGAGCAGAGGCTGTGTCTTTCTGGGCTCGGGAGACTGAGGTTTGGAGTTGAGAAGCAAAACCATAGAAGGGAGGGACCTTCTGGAGGAGCCCGGGACTGCACAGGCTGCCCTGTGGCTCTTGAGCTAGATGTGTGCTCATGAGACCTGGAGAGCCTCGGCCCAAACAGCAGCTGGGTGTAGCGAGAGCCTTCAGGTAGTTATAATTAGTGTGGTCAGCAAAGTGAAGGGTGGGTGCATGGGTGAAAAGATAGAAAATCTCAGCAAAGGATCACAGTTTATAAAAAATAGTTAAGTGGACTTGCTAGAACTGAAGGTACAGTGTCTAAAGTCAACTGGAAGTTAACTGGAAGGCAGGTCCCTAGGAAATACCCAAACTAGAAGCACACAAGAGAAGAGCAGGAAAGGACAGCAGCAGGACACAAGGGCCATCCAGAGGCTGCCATGCACACCCAGTCAGAGCAAGCAG